ATTCCACAACATCAATTACCAAGACACATTAGGTGGCTTTTACTACACTACAGTGGCATGTGCTGCTGTTTTGGTGTGGGTGTTAGCCCTGTGGGTTACTATGACAACTTGTAAATGTCTTTTATGGCGGCGCAGGAACTACGGTATGAGTCACGAGTGTTACTCTTACGGTAGCTCTGACGTATTGTTTTGAGGATTTCAAAGACAAAAACAACATGTTCCTGAGAGTTCTAACGTTCCTACTTTGTGATCAACTGACACCTGATATTTGACCAAACTTTACCATTTCCTTTGCTTTTCCATCAATGCGACCGAGCCGAAACTTGCTGAAACAAGTCCTTCTGTCAGGTGTATAAATTCTAACTCTAAAGGGAGTTTCATCATAACCATTACTTGTCTCTTGAAGCCTTCCTAATCCACAGGCGGCGTTTGATGTGGGAAGGCCGTCTTTGGTGTCGCTGCAGACGGACGCTTGAAAAGGCTTCTGGGTCGGGGTCCCCCTGCGCTCGCCGTCTGCCTTAACCATCGCGCCTGATGTCTCCCTCTTGATGTGGCAGGTTTGAGAGGCCATAGTAAAAATTAAGAGATCATAAAGGCGAGATGGATGCACCATGTGTTTTGGTTTATGCAGCATGTGCAATCCACCGAGGGGTTTTACTCCCACAGCTCTGCGACAAAAGCAGTATGAGCTTAGCAGCTGAAAGTCTAGGTTTTGACTTCAATTTGCTCCACTGGTCTTTGAACAATGTTGTGGTTTCCATGATAAAAGAAACTGAGCATAAACAACTGCTGTCGAAACCAAGTATTTATTTCACAGAACAACCTTTTTTAAATAAGTCAAATAACTTTTTATTAATATCTGTGCATTGTTTTCAAAGGAAAAACCGAATGTTTAGAAAGAGCGTCTGTGATGTGATGCCACTGGAGGAGAGATGGATCAGAAGTAAAAAATGAGAGAGGGAGCTAAAAATAGAGGAGAGGAAGAAGGATGAAGAGAATACTAGCACAGCATAAAGTATTCACCCCCTGGCATATTTTGCCCTTTTTATTGTCTCATCAGTCGTGATCAACAAAATGTTGCTTTTTTTGACAAAATATTACAAAAAATCATCAACATTTCGCTTCAAGCATTGAGTTATTAAAACGTACAAACTTTTCATTGACATTCAAATCTATCAAATACGACTTAATGTTATTTGGTTTCTCCTCCAAAATGGTCAAAATCTTGATTTGTCTTTGTCTTCTTACACCGCTATCCTGAAGATGAACATGGAAGGTTTTAAGATAAAAAACAAAAAAAACCAAAGCTTTTGGTCTTAGAGTAGAGCACGTTTGTAATTTTAGCAATGAAAACCGCTTAGCAGAGTGTATTACACAGTACCATGATTCACCACCAGCCCTGGCCTGAGCGTCAGGCTTTGTTTTGACTCTATGCAAATCCAGTCTAACCGAGGGTTGTTGGTGAACGGGTTTCCCTGAAGTACTCCGTATGATCCTCAGCCATATTTACTGAAATTTGTTTAAGAAGAAAACCTAGACTGGTGAAGTAACCCACCATATAATTAGCTCTTTCTTAGCCTTTTTTTTACCACACGGGATGCCTTTTGCAGATTTTCCTTCTCGGAATCAAAGGCTGAGGGGCGCAGATGAAAGCAGAACAGTGGCATCTGAGGGTCTGCGGAGGCCTCTGAGGGTCTGCGGAGGCATCTGCGCGCCAACTTTCTCCAAATAGCAGAAACTTGTTTTGTCAAACATTCTTGTTATATATATCAGTTTCTGTAAAAATAAGGACTGCTCCCGTAAAATCGACTCCCTCATGTCTGAGGCGCAGGATGGAGCTATAATGCACATCAGAGGTGCAGAATATTTTCTTACAGCTCTGCTTGGTGGCTTGAACCTTGAGCTCGGAAAACTGTTTAAAAACCAATTCCAATAAAGAGGTCAATTGATATTGAATTTGTATTTTTTTTTGTTTGTTTGTTTTAGTGGAGTTGCACTTGCTCAAACAGGCTTTCTGCAGATTGCCTTAAATGGAAGAACCTGTCAAGGGAAGTGCTTCATTTCAATGAGTGTGAAAGGAAGGGAAGACTGACAAGGACAACAATGTGTCTGCCTCCATGGAAAATGCTCGGCAGCTCCACAGACGATGACAAACACTCGCGATGTCCGGTCGAAGTCCCTTCAAACATTGCAAGCGTTTTCCCTGTCAAATAGTGAATTATTACTGAAACAGATATTTTTGTGGTCAGCAAAAACAATATGGAGGGGCCCGCCTCCGTCTGATGGTTCTGTCTGATCAGACACAGAGGATGTGGTCGTCTCACCTCGACGTGTCTGCCGTCATTGCCATGATGATGGGAATGACTGGAAGGAACGTGTCCAGACAGAGTGGGCGGCTCCTCCTTCCCCCTCCTGTCCACCCAAAACTCTGTCTCCATGAGGCAAACAGAGATCCCCGTCTGCCCAGCTCTTCTCAGATACGTGTTGAACCTCAGGCTCCGTATCATACGTCATGTGACGCACACGTTACTCCTGTAAAGGTTGTAAACGTCCGTAGACCTCGTTCTTTAGGCTGATCTTAAAGCTGTGAGAAACGGATCTCATATAAACACTTCAGTCAACCATCAGATTGGTGCACAGGGTTATTCTAGCCATTCATCTTTCCAGTGTTTCAGGAACTCCTGGTCATTCATGGAGTTTCTTTAGACATGCTGACATTAGCATTGGGGACGTCTGTGTGCTGCTGCGACATGTTCAGCACTGAAATGCTGTTTCAGGTTTGAATAGCTTGTCTACATAACAATTCGTCCTTTGAGTGGAGACCATTGGCTCCCCTCACATTTTATCTGGCCGCTGTGCACATTCTCAGGAATTTCAACAATTCTTCTTGATGCGGTGGGAAACGCGTCGACGGGGAGACCTGTGCTGCCACTGTGTGCCGACAGTTCACGATTCAGGCCTGTGTGGTCACAGCTCGTCAGTATCAGCTGTACTCCATCACCTCGGTCGGTCAAAGGCCTGAAACAAATTGCCGGCAGCACTGCGATGTGTGGCCCAGTCTACTGACAGGGAAGGGTGTGCATGAAATGATAGCATACTTCCTTCCTTGTTGGAAAGTCTGCTCTCTTGTTTACTCTGTCCATTTGGCCTGCGGCCATCTTTGGGGTGTGTATTCTTACGGCTGTCAAACTGCTGCGTATCTCCATTCCATTCAGTGGAGCAGGAAGTCTTGAAGCCATAAGATAACAATGTATTTCATACTGTAACTTACACAACTACTGGGCCCACTGCTACAGAACCACCTCAACTATGACTCAAATATTGCAGCCATGACTCAATGGCAGCATTACGTACTCTGATTATTTACGCTGTGCAAACACTTTACTCACCTTGGCATGCTGGATGGGTAAAAATGAAACCTGAACTGTCAGCCAGGCTTATTTTTGGATTCAAATGGCTATTTTTTTTTTTCTGTTTACCACTTGCGACCATTTATGGACATTGATGTTTCTTTCCCAGATGGCCGGTGAATATGAAAAGAAAATGAGAAGTTGGTGAATGTCCCAAAACTACTTGTGTTGACAGAGCGTAACACTGAAATCCACACCCTTGATCCCAACACGGACGCACTGTTCAGAACAGGAACACTTCAGAGGCAACTTCAAGGTCACAGGATGAGATGATGTCTAACAGTTATGTTCTAAATCTCTGCAATACTTTTGAATAATTATGTACAAAAATATTTTCATATGAGAGAATTGACCTAAAAGTCTGTTGCGTATCGAAAGGGGAAAAATGAGAAGCTCCGTCTTTAGAGGGGTTCCCATTTTCCAATTTTATTGGAGTAATGCGAAGTGAGTAACCGCATGGAGGTTTGAAGATGCTTCATCTACTTCAACTCTAAAATGATGAGAAATGGCGTGTTTGTGGTCTGCCTGGCCTGTCCAGACGCTTCCCAGTGGCATGTGGTCTTCCACCCAGCTTCCCAGAACCGAACACCAGAATGTGACCAACCATCATCATTCTGCAAACTCCTCCCAGTGCCGGGCAGCGCTGGGTTTGATGGGACGGCCTGAGAGCCAGGCCGTTTCTGGACAATCCAAATCCAAAACAAGGGGGGGGGAGTTTCCGCTTTTGATGGCGTCTCCGCGTGGTGTTTACCACACGTCTGTCTTCCTGGATATTTAAAGGTCTGAGTTGTTATATGAACCTCCTTAAACCCTTTTGTCTGTCAATTCACTGACCACCCTTTCCTGGACTTGGAGTCAGAATTTATGTTCCCTCCTTTTTTTTTTTGGTACAACAGAAATCCATTATGTTTTTGTTTGACCAGTCAATGTCTTTAAATGGCCTGAAAATATACATTGGAAACTGGTCACCGTATGAGCCGTCAAAACAGAGATGTTGAAAATGAGACTATTTCTGCTATCATCTCATCCACTGCAAAAACGCACAACAGTACTGTTTAATTTTATTCACAGTACTATCGGAACAGTGTTCACATCGGCATGCTATTGTTTTTTTTTATTCTAACACCAAACGCCATGCTGTTAGCCGTTAGCTGAGGAGAAGATAAAACCTACTTTTGGTAAAGTTTTATGTTGTTTTCAGGGAAATAACTACTTTATTGTTTTAACATTCAGCAGTAGGATCTCAATAAAAAGTCCATCACTGTTGCAATCTTCACTGTTAACTTTGTAGTTACCGTTAGCTGCCGATATTTTTTTTCTAATTAACGCAGAGAAATGGAATCGATGTGTTTCTGTTCCTGAATTAGTCTTACATGTTGTTTACACTCAGTGGGGTTAACAATACTTCTGATTCAATGACTGATGTGTCAACAACTGGACTCCATTGTGCACATGTTAGCAAAAAATGTAGTTTTAGTTCAAAATGTCCAATTTAAGCAAATGATGTCAAAGTAAGCAGAACCAGGAGGAAAAAAATCCCCTTTTGCTCTCTTATTATTAATGATTTTGTGATGATGATCCTGTCTGCAGGTCACGACCCCTTCGTTCCCTGTGGTGGTCAAGATGGGGCATGCTCATGCTGGTATGGGAAAGGTGAGCTCTTTAAAATATTAAACCACTTTTATCATTTGAACCTTTATCTCTGTTATAATTGATTGTTTCATAACTGAGTGTTGAACTTATTGTGTGGACTTTATGTAATAATCTCCAGTTACAACAGAAAAGTATTTTCATTTTAAAGAGTCAGAATATGTGTCGGACCCCTGTTGAGTCGCAACTAAAACTTTATTTCTCACATAAATGCAGCACGTATCTGAAAGGACACCATACATTCAAATGAAGATGCTATCTATGTAAACACTGAGTATTTTTAGCTCTTCTTGTCAGAGGATTTCCAGACAAACTCGCCGGGTTTGTGTCGATTCCTCCCAGGTGAAGCCCACGTCTCTTTACCGGAGCCTCGGCGGGCGAGTCTTTGGTTCCGACAGGAAGTAGAAGTCAGACGGATGCGGTGCGGGCCGACTCAGCCTCTCGCTGGACTTTAAACAAACACTGGCTCTCATCTTTCACAGATTGACTGACTAAAGCGACTGCCATGACAAAATCCCTGTTATGTCTATGGTTGCGTAATGCCCCGAAGGACAACACACAAGTCTTTCCCGACAGAAAAAAAATAAATAAATGAAAGTTTTTTTTATTGTTATTTATTCGTGTGAAGTAATGGAGTTATGCAACGGTTGTAACAAAAAGGAAAGTTGTCAGAGCTTCTCTTTTGGTGATTTATTTCATTCTGAATGGGAGATTCCTGTTTGAATTTAGCTGCTGTGGAACATCGCAGAGCATCGATCTGGTCCTGTGTTCAGACTCCAACGAGTTCAGAGGGAGTGAAGCTAAGCCGCGGTTGTGTCATTCTCAGTAATTTGCGACTCCAAATGACTTATTAGCTGCTTCAGCTGTTGGTTTTAACAAGTATTTTCATCTTGCGACAGTAACAACGCTGTTTAGTGGAGTCCCATTAATGGCCCGCCCTGCTTTAGAAACCTTTTTTACAGTTTTGGGAACATTCTGTCATGTTTATTATCCTGGTGCTGCTTCTATTGCGTCATTGCTAACAGGAGCTCTTTGATCCACCCAGAAAATTCATATGGCTTTACTGGTGCATTTTGGACTTTGTCTTTGAAGAGCCTCAGAAACCACAGAGAACCTCCGGAATCGTACAGTTTGTCATGTAGATGCTCTTTCCTTCCTCGTTTAGTGCAACGTTTAAATCTTACAAAAAAAAATAAATAAATAAAGAAAATAAAGGAGGAGGAGAAAAAACAAACAAACAAGGAGTGTCATAGCAACAGATCAACTTGTTTCGGCTTGCGTGACCTTGATGAAGGACAGCAGTCAAAACATGTGGTCTGTTGTTAATATTTGTCTCCCCTATCAGTGTTTTTATGAGCTGTATCATCAACCTCAGCTGCAGACGCCACCATTTGTTTTTAACTTGGTAGCACTTCACACACTAAATTGTTTAATATCATTCAGGAAATTTACCAAATTAAGCAAATATGAGGTTCTACTGATGGCATCAGTATTTTTAGATTTGACGTTTTCCCCGGCAGTTCTGGTCCCCGACGCCTGCCGATGCTGGCCGTCCTTTTGTAACATAAACAAAGTCAGAGTGATTATAAAAATGCCGTTTTACATAGATCTGGTTACTACAGAAGCTAAATGCTGCCTGTTTAGTTCCAGATCTGGGAACAATCAGCGAGAAGATCTGTGACAACCTCAGGAGTCTGCATGGTTCAAACTCGAAGATATCGACAGGACAAGGCCGTCTGTGAATGAAGCAAATAAACTGGAAAAAAAAAAAAAAAGGTTATAAGATGGCCTAAACAAGGTGCACAGCTACATTCCACAGAGATGCGGTGGCATGGATTTGAACAGAAAACAAATGGTTTAAAGTTACCAGGCTAATGTACGCTGCGAAAAATGAATGTGGTGTTGCCAACGTGTTGAGTGTTGAGCGTTTCCCTCCAGTCTGTGTTTACAGGCCACAGCCTAATAACTCCATCGTGACGTAGTTCAAAGCCGCCCCCGGCCGCGTTTCCATCCAGGGACCCTTCATTACTCAGCCTGGGTTCGAGTGTCAGATTCCTGCGGGATTCGGTAGCAGCCGCTGCTTTGTGATTAGCCCCTCGCTAATGAGCGCCGTCTCTCCTGCAGATTAAAGTGGAGAACCAGCAGGACTTCCAGGACATCACCAGCGTGGTGGCTCTGGCCGGGACCTACGCCACCACCGAGCCCTATGTCCAGTCCAAGTACGACATCCGCATCCAGAAGATCGGCAGCAACTACAAGGCTTACATGTATGAGGTTTACCTTGCGTTTGGTTCGATGCAAAGTCTGATGGAGTTTAGAGACAGCAGATGCGTGGAAGTCTCAAGAGGAAGACATGAACATTACCAGAAGCGTTGAGCTGATGATTGTATTTTCACGATTAAATTCAACTGCTATTCCTGGGCAGAATGTCTTCTTCTTAAGTCTTTCAAGACTCAGGATGTTATTGATGATGCCTTGAGGAAAAATATTCATTCCTCTTTGTCAGATATGTTTATCTTACTGTTTTAGTGAGCTTTATAAGGGTTTTATGTGGCCCAACCAAAACATTGCCATTCTTGTGGGGGAAAACTCAAACACAACATCCGCAAGATGGAACATGGCAGCATCATCTTCAACAGGCCTGAGAAAGCTGCTCGAAGAAAACCCATGAAGACTGCAAAAGATTTGAGTCTGCTTGGAGGAGACAATGTCCCACACATGAAGTCGGAGCTACAAAGGAGTTTGGTCAAAGTGTCTTCATGTGGATGTTCTCTTTCACTTCGGAACCGCAGCATCTCTGTGCAAACGACTGTGGTGGGTGGGATTCTTATAGCCAAGAAAGTAAGACTAAAATTGTGGAAAACTGACAAAGTTCCTCAGTTTAAAATGTGGTCAACTGAATTTACTGAGATACTCCATTTGGAGAAATTACAGTATGACGTCACGCTAACAAGTTCTGCAGTATCTGGCAGCCGTTTTTGGACCATGTCACTCAGCCTAACATTGATCCTGATGCTCACTCCGCCTCCAAGTCTATAACGTCCCGTTCTTTACAGACGGGCAAAACCATCCTAAAGTGTAACCGGTAATCAGTGCAGTGTAGCCAGTTATTTAGACAATTACCCTGACTCCTTCTTATTTTATTTCTTTTTATTATAATTTCTTTTCAGTTGTTGTCTTTTTGTCGTACTGCTAAGAGTACATTTTTTCTTACACAATGACATATGTATATATGTTTTATACTGTTGTGTAGGATTTCTGTATGTTGTATTTTGAAAAAAAAACTTATCATATATATTTACCAAAAAAAAAAACATCTTCACGTAATAAGAGACTTACCCCGAAACACTTGCAGTCATAATGCCAGTGGTTACGACTGCAAGACTAAAAAAAAAAAACACAAAAAAGCATTTGTACGAACCAGAATTCATAACTTTGTGTTGATCCTTCAAATTCATTTCTAGGAAATTGTGTTGGTAAAACATGACCTCTAAGAAAAAACAAAGACAATCTGCTCCCTGCCTCTCTGGCTTCAGCCTGTAACCTTGCAGGTGTCTCTTGATGTTGATGTCAGAACAATGCTGGAAAACTCCATTTTCCAGCATTGTTGAACTCACACCCCTTTGGAAGCAACAGAAAGTTCTCTGCAGCGTTAGTCGAGCGTGAAGCAGCAAAAAACTCCAGTGAACACCCTTCTAATTTTCATGTCTGCGAATCTCGATAATTACCAGAAAAAAAAAAAAAGGAAGAAAGAAAATCAGAGGAAAATGATAGAACTTATCTGATTCCGCCGTTTCCTCCAGTCTTACCAGTAAAAGCAGGGGCCCATAATTGGCTCCTGACACAAACAACATCGAAGGTGTGGACGGCAGTCACCGTCACTGATCAATGTGTGATAGCTGTCTCATGAGGTTAGCTGTTTAAATGTTTTTGTTTTTGTTTTTCTGATCCGTTTCTCCTTTTTTTTTTTTTTTTTGTTTGGCGGGGAAATTTTTAGGAGGACCTCAATCTCTGGCAACTGGAAGGCCAACACGGGTTCTGCCATGTTGGAGCAGATCGCGATGACAGACAGGTCAGCTGCCCCGAAGTTTCCCACCAGAATGTCCACCATCACAGACAATCGTGTTTCTTGGATGTTTCATAACTGCCGTCAGTTTCAGACGTGTTCCGACAGACGTGCTGTTTTATAACTGGGTGTACTTTCTAATCCTCCAGTCATTGCCGGTTGTTGAATTGTTTTTTTGTTTGTTTGTTTTTTTTGTTTTTTGTTTTTTTTCCTTTTGGGTTTTGGTGTGACTCGTCCAGATATCGCATGTGGGTGGACTCCTGCGCTGAGATGTTTGGTGGCCTCGACATCTGCGCCGTGAAGGCTGTCCACGGGAAAGATGGCAACGACTACATTATCGAGGTCAGCGCGCGTTCCCGAAAAAAACAACACGCGAGAGAGGGTTTGACGCAAAAGGCGGCTGAAACCTGCTGCGTTATGCAACAGTGGGAGCCGTTTTACGCAGGACTTTTACTCAGTGCTGTGAAAAACGAATTGGCCAGTTATGGATTTCTTCAGTTTTTTATTTATTTATTTATTTTTCATCAAATCAGTTTTGCCTACGTATAAAGTTTTCCCTCGAACATCTAATACCTGGAATGCAATTCTGACTAACGCACAGTAAAGTTAATAATAATAATAATAATAATAATAAAGATTCAACTTTCCCAGAATAAAGTGACCAACAAAAAGCCGCCATGAGAGAAAATAAGATTTAAGATTTGAGGGAACTACTCGTCTGATAATTTGATGCTGAAGTGATGAAATATTTACTTATTTGTAAAATAAATGCCAGAGTTTAACTTCAGACGGGGCTCAGGATTCCTCATTCTTATTTGTTTTTTATATTTTTATTTTTTCATTTCATTTATAAAATTATGACTTAATTCTTTTAACATGTGACCTTATTGAGGTAATATGACTTTACCCTCATATTTATTTTGACTAATTCTCATAACATTGCAGCTTATAATATTGAGTTTATTCTTGTCTATACAATACTAATGACTTTATTCTAATCTTTTTAAATACTAGGACTTAATTCCCAATTTCTCACAGTATTATATAATTTTAGTCTCATTATCACAACTTTTTCTCCTAATATTATCAGTTTATTCTTGCATTATTGCAAATTTATTTTGTCTTTTTTTATTTTAAGTGACTTTATTCTGTTTATTATTATTATTTATGCTGGTGTAACATTTTTCTCCTAATTCAATTTTTCAGTCCCATCACAGGCTCAGATACATGATTTTCTGGACTTGATTCTCATTTCAAAAGTGTTTTTGGGATTTGCTCTTAGCTTGATCGTAATATCTGTGTGATGAACAGAATAGAAACTTGTTCAGAGGTTCAAATACCTTTTTCACGGCACTGAATGTAGGCCGGAAACATCAGCTTGGACTTCGTCTTGTTTTTTTTTTTGTATTTTTCCTGATTATAGCGTCAGGAAGGTCACAGCCTGGGGGCCGAGGTGACAAACAGCAGACATGGGTGTAGCAAAACCTGGTGGCACATGATCAAGAGAGCCTTGAAAGAATAATTAGTCTGCAGACCAAACACAGTCAGCTCAATGAAAACAACATCTGAAGTGAGCGGTTGTGTCACGCCGCTGTGTGCTTACCGCTCTGCTGGAGTTTCAGTTTTGACTCTGATGCAAGCAGAGCGGCCCTGAAGCCTGCAGGACGCCTGCAGCAGCAACACCTTCTGATTGGAAGGCTGCCGCCGCTGCCATGTGTCAGTCGCATTCAACACATAAAGCAAAACCTAACTATTTATTCCAATTAGAATTTTTTTTGTCCATGTCTTCTTACATGAAGACAATAGGGGCAGGAAGGATCTCCAGTAGTAGTCAGTCTCGCAAGGAATCTGAAGAGGCCTCTGACTGAAGACTGTTCCTATGACAGTCTCATGACTATCATGACATCCTAACAGCTCATCTCAAGATAACTTAATGCAGTAACGTGTTATGGATCGGTTGTTAGTGACACGATTGAGTTATTAATCTTCTATAACACAATATTAATGACCTACTGCATGAACAAACTTATTCACATGTGATTTCAATATCATTTCTTGTCAAACTGACACATAGCAGTCGCGAAACTGCGATTTTTTTTCCGACGTCAGCATAACATCGACAAAAGGTTTGCGCACATCTGCGGCTGGAGACGAGCAGCTGGACGGCGTGGGATCAGTTTTTAGAACAAGCTGCTCCGCCTCGACGTCTGACTCGCCCGAATTCAGCCCGAGAGCAGGACCGTCGCCCTGCTCTCCATCTCCGGCCGGGCGAGGTCAGCCGTGGAGAAAGCGCTCCACGGCTGAGGCTACCGACTGCCTCAGCGAAAACCCGGCGGCTCCCTGGGGAAGAGCGCCGTTTACTCCTTACTGCCGCTGATTAAATCTGCTGCCAGCTGCAACTCTGTGGCACCTGATGAAGGGCAGACGTGACGTGGCTCAGCATGAGCAGCCGCCGCTCCTACGCAGTCCGAAGCGGGTTTATTCAATACATCGGCCCTGCGACACGAATTAAAACGTCAGACATGAGAATGATGCGATGCTAAATGATGTTAGAGCAGCACACCGAGACGCAATGTCATAGTAATTTAATCCAGTTTAATGCTAAAGAACCGTGACGTTAGTCTGAGTTCTACTTTAATCTGGTCTCTTGCTCCGTTGCTCAGACTCACATCTTTACTCCCAGACCGCCAAAGTTAAATCTGATATAAAACCTCAACAGAAACAGTTGCGTACTCTCACATAGATCTCTGCAGGAATACTTATGTAAAAGGAAAGTGTCTCAGTGAACAGTAAATTGCAATTTATCAGGTTTATCTTAAAGTCGAGTACCACTCCATCTTATTCATGGTGGAGACTGATAGTGGAAGTATTCAAATAAAAAGCGTTATTAATGCGTCGACTTGAACGGTGATTTGAGTTGTGTTTTACTATTTTTGGTCGTCTCTGAGAAGCACTTCAAAATCCTCCAGATGTTTCTTCCGGTTTCTCAGAAGAAATCTTCGGTTTTTAAAGCCTGGTGTGGAGAAGACGGGGCCCATTAACAGGAAGATATAGAAGGCAACGAGTTTTTAATTTGAAGCATAAACAAAGGACTGTGGGAAGACTCTGCTGAGAAAGAAAGATCGAAAAACTGGGAAGAGACGGAGGAATACGTGTTTAACAGTGAAGAAAGGAAGATTCACAAACGCTGAAGATGGAGCGGAGGATCACAGGAGAACCAGACGAGCTAATCACAGGTGAGTAGATGCAGCTGGAGGAAGGGCAAGGTGCAGGTGAAAACGAGAAACAGCTGGGAAGGACGACAAGATGGCAGACTGAGGGAAAGATGAGAGACAAAGAGAAAACTTACATTCAGAACCTGAAACGAAAATGAAGTGCATAAGTACAACGTGCAAAGACGCAATCTAAGTGAATGTCAGGAATGAACTAAAATGGAAGATCTAGCAATAAAGAAGTGATCACGAACCAGAACCATGAATGAAACTGAAGTTCCAACACCTTCGGATCATGAGTCTTCCTTTAAGGACAGAAGCAGGTCCTCAAGGTTAGCAAGCCATGCGATAACCAGAGGCGTTGTGGTGAGAACTTCCCGTCTGGTCAGCAGTTCTTCAGCAGCTCCATCCTCTGCACATTGTGCATGTAGGTTTCCGACTTGCTTACTGAAGCAACTAGGCAGGCCGTCCCTGGTTTCGAAGGTTTCATGCTTGGTTGAGCAGTCCACACCCGACACACTGTCCCCTTTGCTCGGACCGCGTTTATAACGTCGGGACTGAGCTTGCACAAACTCTCCCCTTTTTGGCCGGTTGGAACCCGCTTCGTCACGCATCTTTGTTTTAAAAACATCTTTTTCACAGACGAGCAGCTGGCTGAAAATCTTCATCCACTTAGTGGAGATTGTTAAACGAGTGACTCATGCATTACCGCCACCAAGTTCCCTAAAGAGGCATTGCTACTGAGTGAAGTGGCTTCGTTTGGTAATCTTCACCGTCCTGTTCCCCTTGTGGTTCACAGGTGTAAAATGTGGTGTTTCTTTGTGGCCCTATAGATGGCGCTCATGGCCCAACTGGCGACCAGGACTCCGGTCCGTTATTCTTCAGTACCAGAACAACCATGTGTACAAATGGAGCTGCTCTCCTTATCTAGCCGTTACATCTTTATAACCAAAACTGAGCAACTTGGATCATATAACACTTAAATACTTTCTTGTTGAATTGAAAGTGACCTACTTTTAATGTGACATTTTCTGATGACTTTTTTTTTTTTCTGCTAATCATCATTTATTCTCAGAGGACAGCTGTGAGAATAAACGGAACGATGCGAGGTGGAAACTTTAAGCAGTGGCCAGACGAGAACTTTGTGATGTTCCACAAACAGCAGCAGTGATAGCTCAGCTACATTTTGATACTTGCTGTGGAAACATGTTTAAATGTTGCAGGAATGCCAGAACTCTCAAAGATATGCACAATCTTACTCAGGTTTTCCACAGCTCTACTAAAAAGCTGTTTTGTGCTGCCAGGTGTTTTTTTTTTTTCGTTCAGATGCTAACAGTCCAGCTTTTGGCCTCGCTGACCTCCTCGTCTGGTTTCCATGTTGTCTTTTTGTTTCTGGAGAAACATCAAGGTTCAGTGAAAATACGGCTGCCTCGTCATTCCTCCAGTTATTGATGATGAGACAATGGACCGCTGTCTATTTGTGGTTCATGATTTTTACTGTTATATTTTATGGGTAAATGACTACCTGAAATATTTGAAACTAAAATGCAGCTCGACGTGGTGAAATTTCAAAAAACATTAGCTTCTTGGCTGGGCTTCGACAAGCAGCCAATCCGGGAGTATCATTCATTTTCCTTGTTGTTCATTGGCTGACCCCCGAAGAGAGGAGCTAATGAAGACGGGGAATGTTAACTATCTCCAATGTGCGTATTAATGCATATAAAGTATATTGGACGTCTGAGCTATTAAAAGAAGAACATTTTAGTATGTGCACATCCAATAAAGTGTTGGTTTAAAGTTGTGCACATCAATGCACTCGGCTCACTGCAGCCTGTTGTACATCTTACTCTTTTAAGTGAAAAACAAGCTTTCATTTCAAACGCTGTGTGAAAACGCTTCGAGGATTAAAGTGTCAAAAGCGGATGCCTCTCTAACACCGAGAGAATTGCAATTGATGAAGCCCCAAGATAAAAGTCCAGGAACTTTCCCATGGAACAGAATGCATTGTCCAGACAGATGGACTTTTCCTGCTTTGTGAAAGCCTAGAACAACACTTCTGCGTTCCAGCAGCGGTCCATAGTCATCCAGTCTGCTGGATGACTATGGACCCTAATAAATCAGCAGGGTGGATCCCGGCTCCGCTTGCCACCGCACACTGTTTGAAGTGGAGCCCGGGGACGGTTTGCCAGGCCTCTGCTCGGTCCTGTGCGGCGATGACTTAACTGACCAAAACACAGTGCCACACCCCTCCTCACCGCCAGAGGTTTGCCAAGAAAATGGGCACAAACAGGGAAAGAATTACTCTGATTTGTGCCTCGGCGCTTTCAGTTTCCCACATTGTGTTTTTGTTTTTCTGCATTCATGAGTCTTTATGTCTTCGGTCGTGTCTCTTTCCTCCAAAACCACTTTCCCATCAGATTTTTCCATACTTAGCCCGTGTAATGCCAAGCTATCATTAGCTGCTCCAGCTACCTGACAAAGTCCTTCAAAATTTTAACCTTATTTGAGAGATTAAAAAGAAAAACGGTTATGTTCTTTTTTAGAGGTATTTTAGGCTTATCCAACTCGGTGTCCCATCAAATTGTTTTTTGAGCCAACAAGGCAACAAAACCCCCAGAGCAGCTTTTCTTTTCGTCACTGCTGTTAAAGGATGCTGCATGTGCGTCAGATTTATTGGCGTTGCGAAAACGTGTGAACACAAAGGTTCCTGTTGGAACCTTTTGTTAAAAAAAGAAAAAAAAAGTGATTTATTCAAAAATAAAATCTACGTAATTAATTAATCAACATTAATGCATTAATTTTCCATCCTAGAAGAAATATAAAATACATATATACATACAAAATATCAGTAAATATTGATTATTGGCAATATTGGATATTGATATCCACTTTACGTTTTCGTGTAGACACATATGAAATTACGATTTTTAAATTAATAGAATTATCATCATATTATTATGAATAAAAACAGAGATTGAAGATTGCATCATACAAAAATAAAACAATACAGTTTAATGAAACTTGTTTAATACCTGTTTAAACCTGGATTAGGTAACTTTTATTAGGAATGTGTTGTTTTATATATATATATATATATATATATATATATATATATATATATATATATATATATATATATATATTTATTTTTTTATTTTTTTTTTTTTTTTTTTTGTTAAAACTGTCCCCGTGTCATGACAGGGTAACATGGAACAAATAATCTGTTGAAAACATTGATCTGCTCTGTGAGTTACCCTCTGCAGAAATGCACCACCCTCAGCCAAAAACAACCAATCAGAGCCAGGAGGAGGGTCTCAGCGCCGTCAATCAATGATGCTAAATGTGCTAATGGCAGTGAAACAACTTATCCGGCTTATCCGTCGTCATTGCTGTCCATGCTAACCAGGACAGCTAGCTGCTAGCTTCAGGGTACCAGAGAGCAAAGAGGAGGACTGACAACGCTAAGGCTATGATTGTTTGTTCGTACTAGGAGAAGGCAGAAGAGCTCCGTTTTTTTCACAGAATGTCTGTCTTGTATAATGCTACAACATAGTGACACTTTCAACTAATATGTAAAAAATATATATATAAACATCAAATACTGCAAACTTTTGCAGCTTTAGAAGGAACGTTCAGTCTGACAAAGGAGACTCATCAGAAAGTTCAAATTTATTGAATATGTCTACAGGCTTTTTAATGCTCTTCCTTATAGTCTTGACAGATAACTGCTCAACCTAATGTTGCTACTTTAAGCTTTTAAATGTTTCATATAAATGTTTGTGGTCTGAACGGAGGCGCAAGAAAAATCTGAGCAAACATAGATACAGCGTTCTTCTTCAGCAACAATGTATACATCCCTTAACAGTTTTTTTTTTTTTTTCATTTCTATTTTCATGCTAGTAAAAGTCACGTAGCACTTGAACAAACAACAGTCCTGTGGATGTTTAGTCAGTATTTATCCAAAAGTGCCAATAAAAGCCACAGCCATGAGTTTCTTAGTGAGGCTGTGACTCCTGACTGGCCCTGAGCTCGGTAAACACCGGGAGCCAGAGGACCGGCACACGCATCCGTGCCTGGAGCCGTGTTTACAGCCTGGTGCCAGCAGAACCGGCAGTCGCCATTTCCTGCTGGCGCTCGTCATGGTCAGCAGGGAGGAAGTCGCCGGGTCTCCATGCCTCCCGCAGTCCGAACATCGTCACTGTGACCTGAGGGCTTCGGAATTTTGTTGACTTGAATGTTTAGGCTGTAAGGTAATAGTAACCTATTTTGGGCCTGTGAATTGGACGCCCGTTTAAAGTTTACCTAAATGACAGAGGCGTATAAATCTGGGCTTCGGTCCGTGAAAGTCATTACTAGAGCAAAATGAAAGGCTAAAAAAAAAACCTGGAATTATGCGAGGTAGTCCCAGTTTATATCCGAATAAAAACTACTGCAGGAAACCAAAGTGGTTGTCCCAGTTCGGAGGAGATGCTGGGACGGATCCACATCCAGGGCCTTTCTGGTGAGCAGTGCATGGGAACATCCAGAGGAGTCCATCCCATCCGGCTATTAATTGGACTTGAGGTCTGCAGAGGCTTGTAAAGCTCTTAACCTCTGACCTCAATAGCAGAGTCGTACGTGTGACCTGAAAAACTGACTCATTTTTTATTCTTTGTTGACCTTTATTCACTGTCACTGAACTCTATGATACAACACAGCCATCTAGTGGCGGGTTAATATATTTCTTTTGCTTGACATTTCCTGTCTGCAGGTGATGGACAGCTCCATGCCTCTGATTGGTGAGCACATGGAGGAGGACAGACAGCTCATCACTGAGCTGGTCATCAGCAAGATGGCGCTTGTGCTGCTGGGAGTTGTTACACCTCAGACTTCTGCTGTGAAGGTACAAACTGCAGCTGTGAGGTCAGCTCAAAGTTTTCATTTCAAATGCGACATGAAAGATTGCAGTGCGCAATAATGAAGCAGTAATGGATGTAAACACCACGATATGAACATATAGCGTGATGTTTAAAAAAAAAGAAAAAGTAGCCCTGATAGTTTGACTTTTTTGTTAAACTGGTACTGTAATTAATTAATCACATTTTAATTGAAAACGTATGTTCAGTCAAAATAAGCAACATTTTCAGTCTTGTTTACGGATGTTTGTTGTACAAGAAACACATATAAGAAACATACACATTTTTTATATGACTGGTTTTGTAAAAAAAAATTAAAAAAACACAGCAACAACAAAAAGACAGTAATTAAATTGTGTTATATTTCTAACACCTGGAATTCCAGGTCATCAATACATTAAAATGAATGTGATCAGTTTCCGAGCTTATTTTCTACATAACCAATAATCACCACAGACTGTTTAAGTGGAAACATTGATGTAAAAACAATCTGGAGTATTTTTTGCCAGTATTGGGTGAAATAGCTCTTCACTGTTTAAGTGATGACAAAAAATATGAAGTAATCACTAAATGTCATTGCATTCAGCATTGCAAACATAAAAATAGCACGATGAAAATAAAAAGTGACATTATTAAATATTATAAGCAGTGATATTAAACAGTGCAACTGTTCCAGTAAACAGCTCACAGTGTTTGCATTCAGTCATTTTGAATTTCTTTATGAGTGTCATGTTTTTTGCAGTTGCGTTGAGAGGTGCTCAGTTTGTTGCAGTTTAGGATGCAAAACACTAGATGTCAGTCTATTTCACTCACTAGACCTTTCATTAACTACTGTTGCTATAGCAATGCAACAGATGCCAGAAGATTCAGTGGATTTGAAAAAAAACAAAACATTTTTTTTCCAAAAACGTAACCTTTCTCTCTGTCTGTGTCCCTCCATGTTCAGACCACTCAGCCCAGGCGAGGTGAGTTTAATCCTCAGTGTAACGGCGGCCCTGTTGTCCACACACTGAGGTGAAACACAACGTGTGTTTCCAGGCGGTCACCGCTCTGGTTCGGCCTCTCCGTCGCAGTCGGCCCAGGGCTCGCCTCAGAGAGCGCGCTCCGCCACCACCTCTCCCAGCCAGGCCTTCCAGCCCGGCCCCATCCCGGCCTCCTCTGGGCCCGGATCTCAGAAACAGTCCCCTCATCTCAAGTAAGTCCAAACTGCAGAGCGCCAGCTTTTGCTTATCTTTTCATGTCTCTAATCAATTGTGTAAAAAGCCCAAAATGGATCAAACCAACAAAAACCCGGTTGGGGATACTTCAGTCGCCTTCTCAGCTCCCCTCTCGGTCCTTTGCAGGATTCTCTTCTCGAACCAGATGAACAACCGTTCATCGGTGCTCTTCCCCATTGGCCAATGATGACTGTTGTTCTTTCTGTTGTGCAGCAAATCCCAGTCACTGACCAACACCTTCACAGAAACGTTACGGGGAAGCCTGACCGACGACGAGGCCAAGGCTGAGACCATCCGCAGCCTCCGGCAGTCCTTCGCCAGCCTCTTCTCTGACTAAAGAAGCCCCGCCCCCCTTGGGCTTCACGTTGGACGTCAGGTCAAAGACTAAAAAAATTAAAAAGGGTGGGGAAAAAAAAAACAGCTTCATTTGTAAAGGAGTCTCTTCTCTCTTCCAAACTTCGGCTTTGTGTTTTTTCTTTGCGTTAACCCAGTTGTCCATCTGCTGTTCTCAGAATATTAGTGAAGTCAGCACTAGAAAGACCAAGACATCCTCAGGATCTTAGAGGAAGTTAGAAGGAGCCAAACTTTCAAAGGTAATGCAGTGCCTTTCCCGTTAAAACCCAAAAACTTCTCTGTTTTGCATTGAGATTTTACAGCAGAGATCAACGACTGCCTCGAACTGTAAGCAGAAGAAAAGCGTTAAAAAAAGCAAACAGGTTTAAATAAAAATAACCATTAGAGTTTATGGATGAGACGTGACACAAAGCGAAATGAAGACATTTACAAGGTGTTTATTCTGATCACTTGAGGACGTCTGGCCTTTCTAGTGCTGACTGCTGTCACTACAGCAGATCCTCATGTGGTAGCTTGTGCTGCTTGGTATATTATCGTTCTGCATCCTGGTACAGATGTGTTCCCGTTTTGTCTCTTTTCACCTTTACCCGTTTTAAGTGACACGCGGCTTCCGGGTTATTTGCTACGTGAACGTGCCAAACGGTCACAGTTCGCCAGCGAGCTCTGAAGCTCCTCAGCCAGCAGTCGCAGACATCCAGAGTGTGACGCAGCGACTCCTCTACCCCTGGCCTAACTTTACCAAAGTGCTTTTCAATAGCATATATAAAAAAAACCCTCTGCACCGGGTCTGGAGAGCAGTCAGCTGGTAGAAACATTTCTACCCGGCTCGAGGCCGTCGTCTTCCATCACAGCTCAGTGGCTCTTTATCTTTCTAAGCTCAGTTAGTTTCACCTTTAAGCTTTTGTCCAGCTGGATTGGCATCACAGCTGCTTCTGCTGGGCGCTGGTGAGCAGCGAGGCTCACTCCGGACAGAAAAGGTTCAGTTATAATCCGGAATGTTCCATATTTTCTCTCTGCTCTCTGCAGCCCTCGTCAGCTGAATTTACAAGCGCTCCGCAATACGTCTCGTTTTGGAATTCAGAGCCGTATATGGACTCGAACCGAACCACTGAGGCAGTCCTAACTTCTGAAGAGTTGGGATTTATTTATTGGTTAAAATGTTTCCTGGAAAGTGAGTTGACTTCAGAAATCCTTCTCGTCTCACTGCAGGCTGCAGGCTTTCCGAGACATGAACGTCAGTGAAGGTCAGATTTGCAAACACAATGCAGCCATTGTGTATTCATCTGTCATTCACACAAGGAAAAAAGGCAACTTTGAATGACAACTTTGCTTTTTTTCACGGGCAAATATTATAATTTTCCAACTGTTTTCAGACATGCAGAGTGAGATTTTATCCATCCAGTCGAACAAAGTCAGGGGAAATGTTATGTGACTGCAGTAACATGGAGACCTATCAAACCAGCGCCCTGTGGAGGGCATAAGAAGCTCTGTGTTGAGGCCAGTCTGCCTTCAATTGATAGCGTGTGACAAAAACTGTAATTCAAAACATTAGATTCCAGGCAGCATTCATATATATACTGTAATTTCTTTGTCACCACAAAATTCAGAGAGAGTTTTACATTTTTCTCTACATAATCACGTGATGTTTTACCAAATATGGCTTAACAATTAACCGCTAACATGGCTGTCAAAATGGCATTCCGAGGAAACCTTCCACTCAAACCCGATCAGTTGAAGCTAGTTAGCAACAATAAACACACAGGAGGACCATTCGCACAGAATGGTTAGCATAACATGATACGTGTAGATCAGTAGACATTTTGTACTGACTCCTAAAGCTTGAAAAATAAATATTTTCTTACATAGTAAACATTATGCTCACAAACGATAGCTGTGGTTGCCAGCCTGGCTATTCTCTCCCTGCTTGAGCGACCGATGGTAGACCTAGTCCAAGTATTTCATGTCTACTGGGCAAAAAGTCTTTCCAACAGAGAAACTGTTCATCTCTGTTGCAGATTTCAACATTTGCAGGATGCTTCATAATATTTCAAATCTACTTGAATTTTATAAGGGTTTGAATTATCCTGTTGTTCACTAATGTTCAAGTGAAATCAATTAATTAATCTAAACTGAGAATCCAGTTGCTTACACAGCTGAATATTTATCAAATTATTAGAGATAAATGAAATTAATTTCAGTGGCTTGTCTAACACACTCAGTATCTGTTGTGAACTGCATCAAGATAAATAATGTGTGCCCAAGCTGTCAGGTTTTTAAAATACTTCATTTCAGAGGAGCTGTTTTCTGAGTGGTTAGCTTCGTTAGCCCTGTCAAGCTAACCAATTCGGACACCCTGATTCCTGGCGTCTACGATACTAGCATACATTAAACATGTTCCAAAGCAGAGACAGAACTCTTCATTTTAGTTATATTTATGCAGTTTTTGTTTTAATACGTCTGCAGCAAAGTTAATCAAAATGTTAAAATATATTTTTTTTTTACCAGTACCAGCAATTTACCAAAAATAATCTTTAACAATGATTCTTTCCGCTTGATTTGCTTTTGACTGGGGATAAATTTTAAATACACGGCCAAGCAGGATTTATACTGAAAAACCAAAGCTTTGGTGTAGCTTAGCCTAAATGTTAATCAATGCTAACTGAAAGGGTTTTGTTAGCCAGTTATAAATTAGTATCGTTTCACCTTTACCAGTATGACGTTGACAGTGCTAATTGCCCTGAACCAGCTTTGACCTAATCAATATTTGCCCTTACTTTTTACACACCTTTACTCTGAGATGGTTTTTCTCCTGCTGAATTGAAATGAAGTAATGCTGCATTTATATAAACATCTTTTATTCACACCGATAACATAAAAAAAAACCCTGCTAATAAAGTCGACCTTTAAAACTGCAGAGGCAAACGTCCTAGTTAAAGCAAGCAATAAAATAGAGACACAAATACACAACAGTGCAGCCCTTCACTTGTTTGTTTTATATCTGAAGTCCCATAATAATGTGCAAAAAGCTTCTATGTCCCAAATCTAGTTTTTTTTTTTTTTTTTTTTGCTTTTTTGTTTTTTGTAGGAAGCTATTTTGATAGTTATGCTAATGTTAGCTTTTACTCTAAAGATCGTAATGCCCACCAGCCAGGACAAATAGATCTTAATGGTGGGTGGAATATGGTTGGTTTAATGTGTTACTGTGGCGGCCATCTTTTCAGCTCCAAAGCTAACCGGACAGCACCTGAAAGAAGCTAATATTTCATATTTATCCTGGCTTAGAAAGGATTGAGTCAGACAGAAGGTAAACTGGATTCCACTGGTTTTTTTCAGTATAAATTTTCCTTTCCCATCGACCCATACATGACTCCGTGGATCCTGATGAGTCACCATTGTCACCAATTTCATAAAATTGTGTACGGTTCTGGTGGCAAGCAGGGCAGAAAAAGGGACCAGTGGAGGATTTCTTTGGGGTTACATTTTGGCCCTATATTGATCATTTATAGGTTTGATGCAGGACAGTTGACTTAACAGATAAAAATGTAAATGTGGCCCATATGTGTAACTGATTTTCTTAATGTCCATTTCAGCACAAAGCCACAGCTCTCAGCCGGTTCTTGTTGTTGTACTTAGTCAGACCAAGTGGATCCCATATGTGAAGCCATTCAGAGCCCAGGCCCAGTTAGTCCCAATGATGCTTGCGCTGGACCCATATGATGCCCACCAACATCTCTGCCTCAGATGTTGCAAATTCAGCGTCTTGTAATTTTGCTCTTTTGCGGTCAGTCCTTATCTGGTCTCACTGTGTCAATACGGACCAAAATACATGTCATTATCTTTACTGTAGGGATTACTCCTGTTTAGCATGCAACACCAGTATGAAAAGCCATAATCGAGCAATGCGGATTTCTATCCTTTGTGTGCCACGCAATAAAGCTGTGACATCACTCACAAAGCGGTGCGTTAGCGGTTCGCTACTATAATCACTGTGTCCGTGGCCTCTCCTGCCTCGCAGAGAAACTCAGCAATTGTTGCTTCTTCCTTTTGAAGGTTTCCCGTTTGATTTCTGTCAGGAGAGCGTTGGATGTCACTTCTCTTCTTTCCGCTTCAAACTGGAAGTTGGGCGAAAACGTGACGACGACTTGGTGTCGCGTAGCTTCAGTGGTCTCTATTTTGGAGCTGAGGACCATGATCTCATTCGTTTGACAGGCTCGATGTTTTGAGTCGTTTTGGAACCAAGCTTGAAAATGTTGCACCTACCTCAGGCTTAGCAGTGCTTTCAGAAACTGGCTGTACTTGTGGAGATTTTGTGTTTTCTACAAGGATCTGTGCAAAGACATTCAGACTCCCTTCACCAGTTTGACCTGCAAACTTTACAAAAAAAAAAAACAACGTTCTAGTGTGTGCGATACTGACCTAAGGATGATCGCCATCTTAATATCATATCCTGTGTGATTTAAAATGAAACAGGATGGAGCCGGTGTGCCTTGCATGCAACAATTAGTGGAGTGTGACATACCAAATGACCAGGCACTCCCAAAACACTCTGTCTCCTCTAGTGGAAATTTACTGATGCGCCTCAATAAATGTGCAAATAATTTAAAAATTAATTTGACTTAAAAAAGATAGATGAACCATTGCTGGAGTCAACAAGCAGAATAAATTAAAAATAATAAATTAGGTCATTTATAAATATTGAAAGGTTCGTATATTTCTTATGCAGACAATTATATTGCAACTGTTACGTGAGTTAGCCTGTTTAAAGAGTTTTATGTATTCAAAAACTTCCAAACCAGTTGAAAATATAATTGCCATCCTTGTCAAATCCTGAACTGGCTGGTTTGGTTCCACTAGCAGCACACATGCCTGCTTACTGACAGACGGGTAGAATAATAAAACACGTTAAATAGTACCTGTCTGACAGCACGAAGCAGGTCACAAGATGGTAGAAAGGATCAGAAATCAAGTTTTTGGATTCTATAACAAAATCATTTGGAAGTTCAGTGAGGGGCTCAAAAATGAATAAGGTGCAGTTTGTGCAGTGGCCTAGTCCATGTCCAAACCTCAGTCCATTTACGGGCATGACCATTAACAAGCCATTATTGCTTGAAAACCAGTTATTGTGGCTGAAGTAAAACAAGTGCAAAAAACTGAATGCAAGTTATCACAAAGCAGGATTTAGGTTTAGGAGGCATTTACTTTTTCACAAAATTCAAACACAACTCTTTTGTTTTTCTTTTTTTTGTTACTCAAGTTATCCTTGAATAAAATAAATAGAAACTTCTTCATGTTTGAATATGGACAACGTGGAACAAAAGACCAGAAAGTCTTTAAAGGCAACATTTACTTGATAAGCGCCTTTTTTTTTCTTTTTTTTATCAGTCTTATATAATCTGATTCCAAATGAACTTAGAGATTTTAATTATCTTTAAATGTTTGTCCAAACAATAAAAATTAATTCATTTTTGCCCCTTTTTGAATTTAATTGCAGTCATATCTTGAGGTGTCCTGAGGGGGCCCAGACTTTGTCTTTCAGCCCAGGACAGCTTGGCAGGTTGCTACGGCCCTGCCGCTGGTCCGTTTTGTCTTTTTATTTATTTATTTATTTTTACTTTCAACTTCAAGTACTTGTGCACCTGTTTCTTATCACGTCCTCATTTGCTTCTTTGGAGAAAATAATAGTAATAATTTTTAAAAAATCGCAATACAGCTACGTTTTATCGTTTAAAACTAACTGAACTAATATGCATTCAAAGAGCCTTGCCATGTACTGCAAGCTAACACTCGATGTGATGTGTGTGTACAGCATGGATTTCCTTTGGCAGTCATCCTGTCCACCGCGTTCCTTCCTCCCCGCTGAATGACGGCTGGTGTCGTGAGGTTTTTCAGTGTATCAATGTTCTGTATATCGCTGTAAACATGGCATGGAAACCAACTTTTCTCGTGTGCCTCAGGTGTGTAAATTTAGTGATCATGTGACCTTAATGTCTGGCTGCTTGTTTGTGAGACGTGTGACGCATCTCTTGTGTTTCCGTAACTTATTATTATTAATATTGTTATCATTCACATGATCTCTGTACTTTTATGAATTTATTTATTGATTTTTTGTTTTTCTGTCTGAAAAACAGGATTTCGGTTAATAAAGCGCGACAACTTTTAATACACCTGTGCTTGTCCTCTGGCCTCTGTTTGTCCACTTTTCTCCATTTATGGTCACTGGGTCTCCAAAGACAACGTGCAGCAATCAGATAATGGAGCGATAATCCTAAATATTCCTTCATCTTAGATCAGTTCTCTGTTTTATTCCTTTTGGCATGAAGCTCGGCGTGTTACAATCTGCCTCAAAGAGGAACCTGCAGCCCTTCCTTTCATCTGCTGCCTATTTTAAACCACGCTCTGAAACGAACCTCATGCATAAAACACTCGCTCGCTTTATTTTTCAAACAGCACCAGATGTCCTTCATTTCGAAGAAAATTGCACATCTGAGTCGAAAATCATTGCCGGCTATGCTTTGATCAGGAAACGTAGGTCATCCCTGGACAAATTTCTTCTGTTGTTGCTCCTTTTTTGTCCCCTGCCCCCAGACAAACACCTGAATAAATGCAAAGATTGTTTTCAAATAACGATTTATGTCATTAAGAGGAATATTTGTGATGAGTCAAACTGGTAGGTTTTAATCTGCATTTTTAATATCTGCGAGGAGGCCTGTGGAGAAGAGACATTATGTCTCATATGTTTACGTTTGGCAGTAATCTGAAATACAAGTTAGTGTTTTTGTCATGCAGCCTGGTTGGTACAGACAGCTTCACTCCCAGAGTGAATCAGATCCTAATTTTAAACATGCTTTTTGTTTTTCTTCAGGCTCATTAATATTAGTCACCACAAAACCTGAAACAAGTCTAAATGTCCGTCTGCACAATGAACACAAAACAGAATAGTAGCAGCATGGAGGCCACATTAATGCACCAGTAAAGAGCATAAATCATGTGGAAGCATTGTGAGAACATAATTAAAGTTCCAAGAGCTCAAAAAAAGAAAATGTTGGGATTTTTGAAGTTTCCTGTTGCATGATAATCTATTTTAGCTAATGTTAGGTTAACAACTCACTGAATGCATCTTCAAGATTGTCTCGCGTCTAACAACACGACTTGTTAATCTCTAACAAATCTTAATAAAAAAGAAACCCCATGGGGCTGAGAGGCTGAAGATGAAACACTGCGCTGTTTTCACTGAAAACGTTGCAGCCATCCAGTCCGCGGCCGCTGATTTATCGAGGCAATTCAGATAAGATCCAGCATTACGTAACACGTCCAGCATTTCATTCCTCTTACTGCTGCTTTTATCTCTAATGCCGTCACTCTGATCCAGTTCGCTGCCATGTTCAGCAAGCTTTCACCTCGTAAGAACAGATTTATGGGCTCCTTAAAGAGCCGTTGAACTCTTCCCTCCTCCTTGTGTCAGTCGGCCTCTCTGAGGTCACTCCAGGCTCTCTGCGTCCTGAAACGTCCTGCCGCTGACATCCCCCCCCCCCCTCCACCGACCCAGTCCAGAACATGTGTTGCATACCAGGCCCCTGGCAGCCTGATGGTAATCTGCTGCCAGTGTGAATTCTTTAGTGGTGTTTAAGGGGGGATGTGGGAACCTGTGATGTGCCGCAGGTCCGTGCCTGCCTGCCTGCCTGTGGGATCATCCATCGACACGATGCCGAATGGGACCCGAGGGAAATCAGACCAACTCAGAGAGAAGAACATATGTGACGCGGGTGACGCGGAGACGCAGGGGTTAACCACAACGCATATGAAGAGGATTTAGTCCTTGATGCAGCCATCGCAGGTTCGATTCCCAAACTGGTGACCTTTGCTGCATGTCTTCTTCTCTCTCTTTACCTACTTTCCTGTCTTAGCACTTTCAAAAAAAATGCAAACTAAAAAAATGTTTAAAAAATGAAATAAAACTATGATGGCCCTATTAGGACCGTTGTAAACAGAAAAAATAAGTGGCACCAGCCATAAAATGCATAATAAAGAAGAAAAATACGTTATTGGGGTTTTTTTTCTGGTGAAAATGAACCATCTTGTTTCATTTCTACCTATAATTTCCCTGACAGGCCTTGGGCTGACTCGTTTTCAAACAGTACTCTCATGTCACCGGCAGGGGGCGTTCTCCTTCCACGCTCAACGCTTTCTGCTCTCCGTTGAACTCGCTTCATGTCTCATATGTTTCAGCCCAGCTGTTCGTCTCCTCTCCGAACGACGTGATGACGTGCTCTCAGCTCTGACGTAGCTACGGCCATGTCGGCTGAACACAAAAGTGTCTGTCGGGGACGAATAAAAGAGACGCTGCTTAGCAACAGCTGGATCGACAGAGCGCAGCATGCTGAACATGTGTGGACGCAACGAAGACTTTTATTATTATCATTTTACTTTTGAAAGCACCTGTGAGAATTAGTCATTTCATCATATTTGTGAACAGGGAGGTGTGCAATGCTGCAAGTTTTGTCATTGATCTGATGGCAAATAAATAGAGGGCCCATATCACCAAATCATTTCTGTTGGTTGTGATCCATATGTCAAAGTCTGTAAAATACTTTCGCAGGATATTTACAAGAAAAGCGGAAATACAACATAAGTCATTTGTGTGCGTTTCCCTTTAAGTGAAGTGCAAAAAAGTTGTCCTTTCAGACAAAAAAATAATAATAATCTAGAATCTTTTTTAAAGGTAGAGTTGAGAAACTGCAACACAAAAATAAATGGAGATTTCAAGAGGGAGTCTGAAATGAAAGCGTTGATCCGACACCGATACAGATACCAACACCGATACCGATACTGATACTGATACTGATACTGGTGTGGTATTTATGGATTGGATATTTGGATAGATCCACCCGCCGTTACTGCAAAAATATTCCCCAGTGAGTGGAAAACAGGAGCTGCAGCCATTTACCTGCAGAAACATCACAGAGCAGCGTCAGCAGAGCGGAGGTTCCTGTAGTCATGGCAACGACTCTCCAAACTTCATGTGACCTTCAGATTAGCGGTTGAACAGAGCGCGTCATGGAACGGCCTGAATCCAAACCTCGACTTCAACAACATGGTGAAGTAATGAAAGGTGTCGCCGCTGGACTCTAAAGCGGTGGAGACATGTCCCCTGATGAGACGAACAGCCTCTACATGGATTGTTTTTTAAGTGTAAAGTTTGGTGGATGGATGATATTGGATTATAATTTAATTACATTTTTTGTCATGGGGCCCAAGATCCCTGGCCCCTGTGAGCAAAGCCCCTGTTCCTCACTATAAAAAGAGTAATAAAAGTACATACCATTTGTGCTGATATCGCATCGGGTCAGTATTGGTTTGTAATCACAGCAGCAATATCTATATCACAAGTAAAAACATCGCATCAGGAAAACGAGAGGAAACGTCCATTAATCTAACCGAACAGTGACATGAAAGTACATTTCCAGCCTGATTAATGTGTTGGTTAATGTTTTGGTTAATGTTTTGGTTAATGTGTTGGTTAATGTTTTGGTTAATGTGTTGGTTAATGTTTTGGTTAATGTTTTGGTTTGTTTTGGTTAATGTTTTGGTTAATGTGTTGGTTAATGTTTTGGTTAATGTGTTGGTTAATGTTTTGGTTAATGTTTTGGTTAATGTTGGTTAATGTGTTGGTTAATGTTTTGGTTAATGTGTTGGTTAATGTTTTGGTTAATGTGTTGGTTAATGTTTTGGTTAATGTTTTGGTTAATGTGTTGGTTAATGTTTTTGGTTAATGTTTTGGTTAATGTTTTGGTTAATGTTTGGTTAATGTTTTGGTTAATGTGTTGGTTAATGTGTTGGTTAATGTTTTGGTTAATGTTTTGGTTAATGTGTTGGTTAATGTTTTGGTTAATGTTTTGGTTAATGTGTTGGTTAATGTTTTGGTTAATGTTTTGGTTAATGTTTTGGTTAATGTGTTGGTTAATGTTTTGGTTAATGTTTTGGTTAATGTTTTGGTTAATGTGTTGGTTAATGTGTTGGTTAATGTTTTGGTTAATGTTTTGGTTAATGTTTTGGTTAATGTGTTGGTTAATGTTTTGGTTAATGTTTTGGTTAATGTTTTGGTTAATGTGTTGGTTAATGTGTTGGTTAATGTTTTGGTTAATGTGTTGGTTAATGTTTGGTTAATGTGTTGGTTAATGTTTTGGTTAATGTGTTGGTTAATGTGTTGGTTAATGTTTTGGTTAATGTTTTGGTTAATGTGTTGGTTAATGTGTTGGTTAATGTGTTGGTTAATGTTTTGGTTAATGTTTTGGTTAATGTGTTGGTTAATGTTTTGGTTAATGTTTTGGTTAATGTGTTGGTTAATGTTTTGGTTAATGTGTTGGTTAATGTTTTGGTTAATGTTTGGTTAATGTGTTGGTTAATGTTTTGGTTAATGTTTTGGTTAATGTTTTGGTTAATGTGTTGGTTAATGTTTTGGTTAATGTGTTTGGTTAATGTGTTGGTGTTTAATGGTTAATGTGTTGGTTAATGTTTGGTGTTTTGGTTAATGTGGTTTTGTGGTTAATGTTGGTTAATGTTTGGTTAATGTAATGTTAATGTTTTGGTTAATGTGTGGTTAATGTTTGGTTAATGTTTGGTTAATGTTTTTTTTGGTTAATGTTTGGTTAATGTTTGGTTATTTGGTTAATGTTTGGTTAATGTTTTGGTTAATGTTTGGTTAATGTTGGTTAATGTGTTGGTTAATGTGTTGGTTAATGTTTAATGTTTTGGTTAATGTGTTGGTTAATTTTTGGTTAATGTGTTGGTTAATGTGTTGGTTAATGTTTTGGTTAATGTTTTGGTTAATGTGTTGGTTAATGTGTTGGTTAATGTTTTGGTTAATGTGTTGGTTAATGTGTTGGTTAATGTGTTGGTTAATGTTTTGGTTAATGTGTTGGTTAATGTTTTGGTTAATGTTTTGGTTAATGTGTTGGTTAATGTTTTGGTTAATGTTTTGGTTAATGTTTTGGTTAATGTGTTGGTTAATGTGTTGGTTAATGTTTTGGTTAATGTTTTGGTTAATGTTTTGGTTAATGTGTTGGTTAATGTTTTGGTTAATGTTTTGGTTAATGTTTTGGTTAATGTGTTGGTTAATGTGTTGGTTAATGTGTTGGTTAATGTGTTGGTTAATGTTTTGGTTAAT